CGTCAGAACTCCCGACCTTGACGCCATCCAAAGGTATTTGAGGTAGGACTCGAAGAATTTTGAAGGAAATGCTTTTGAATTTAGAACGCAACATGATATATATAGAGGCATCATTGTGTGTGGGATACTGATAAGGGTAAATTGCAGGGCAGGGCAGAAGACCAACTTTTATTTTCATGGTTTGGCAAAGTGAGAATTGGTTCTCATGTTTTGACAATTTAGCCAAATTCTGACCATTTTACCCCTGCCAGCGTAACGACGTACTGTTCCGTGTATGGTTCAATTATGCGGTTCAGTTAGGTACACTGTTCCGGTTAGGCTAAGATAATTTTTTTATTTAATGTTTTGTGCGGCTGTACAGTGAAAAGAGGGAGTAATAACATTAAAAAATAAAGAGACATCAGTATTTAATGCCCAAAAAGTTGAGACATGACTCTTGTCACAATTAATGCAAAACTCATCATTACTTGTTGTAATATTAGTTTATACGTTTGAAAAATTGTAAGAGATAAGCATAAACCATCAAACAAACAAATTAGTCTCAACGAATTTGATGCTGGAGAAGTTTTGATCTTGTTGATTTACAAAGTTTGGAGCCAAGACAAGCATTGATCGTGTAAGTAATCAAGTTGGTTAAGAAGTTTTTTGTTATAACACAGTAGGATCTTGATTGTGTTCGAAATCAACATTGTTTTTTTATATAAAAACCCAGAAATTTTTATTTCCAATTTTGTTTGTTGAAAATGCTAAATGAGGATATATATGTTTAAAAGTGTGTACTTGGAAATTCTTTTTGGTTTTTGTAGATATAATCATGTTTTGAGTTACATTTAATGGGGTTCTGCTGAATTTATGATGCATGTGGGTAATGGATATTCCCGTATTTACTACGGTGGATGAGTGGAGATGCAAAAAAAAAGAATAGAAATTTGAACCAGAGGAAGGCATCTTTGGTCGTTGTGTACGTGTTAAGGAAAACATGACGTACACGGAATTTGTACGTACATTATGCGAGGTTTTTAGTGTGAAGTGTTTTTAAGAACAGAAAAGTCATACAACAAACAATGTCTTATCTCGCAATCAAACAATGCTTTTGCTACAAGCAACCTAGGTCATGTCCTACAAAATTGGAGATGGTTTGCGTTGATGATACTTGTCCATGGCATTTGACAGCTCAAGTTGTCAAGAATTCAGAATGTTTCACAATCACATCGTATGAATGGTAATTGTGTGCAATTTAGTATTGGAAGATCTGTTTTACCTAAATCAGAGTACGATTGTTGAATTAACCAATGTTGCAATTTAAGAATTTTTAAATATTACACGTACGTTGCCTCAACAATGGTACATACTGTGAAAGACATACACGTCCATATACTCAAAGGCATCATTCTAATTTTGTACTCATCTTTAACCTGGTTTCTTCTTCAACAACTTTAATTTTATGGCCATTGTTCACAATTTTCTTATAATCTTTTGTTTTCTTACATTTAATTTATTTATTGATTTTGTAAATCTAGTTTATATTTGCGTATTTTGAAGTCGAAAAACTAAAATACAAATTCTATAACTATTACGTACATCGTCTCCACAATAGTACATAATCTAACAGAAGTACATATCCATTTTATAATCAATTGTGTGTATACCGTAAACTACATACACGTAAATAGAAAAAACTCAAATAAGGACATATTTCTACCAAAAATATCTTACCAATTTCATACAAGTTTTCTACGAACTCAATTAAAAAAATATTAATAATTTGTTTTCAATAAATAAGTGAAACCAACTATGATCAACACACAAATGGACTCTAATGGGACTCACAAAACTCCAGCTCTGTTACACAATTCACATAATCATATGTCAAATACGAGAAGCAGTAGAAATAAACCTCACAACTAGAGAAAAATATTGAGGAATAATATGTTTTAACGTGACACAGAGCCGTGTGTGGTTTGAAAATCTTAAACACTTTTCAGTAGATGATTCGCTCTTCCATTTTATAAATATTTATTATTTTTATACTTTTAGTTAAAACTCTTTTTTTCTATCGTTTAAGACCCATTTTCATATTTTTATTTCTATTTTAAATAATATTTTATTTATTATCATCGAAGACTATTCACGATTAGCAATATCATATACACATATGTGCGTAACGGTAATAATATATACGTACACGGTAGTAATGTGTACGTACACGGTAGTAATGTGTTCGTGTAGTAATGTGTGTATATATGTACGTAAATATCTAAATAAATTGTATATTTACGTTTCAAATATTTTTTGACCATAAAAACAAAACATTCAAATCATGTATCAACAACACATGAAAAAAATACAGTCATACAAATAACTGACATAATAACTTAATTTTGATGTCAAAAAATTAAATTAATGTTGTACTATGAACGTTCCAATAAATATTTTTGTGTACGTACATAGTATAAGACTTATGTGATTTAGGCATTTTTAGGATGTAACTGTTTGGAGAGGTCGTACACGTGTACGTGTATCTCAATATTATCGTGTACGTCTACCGGTTTAGTTTAAAATCTTATTAATTCTCAACAAATAATATCATATAACAGAACACTTACTAAAAATTTTCAAAATAACAATTAAATAGAAATAACAACATCAAAACAAAAAAAAATATCATATATATCGTACTAAATACATAATATTTGGCTAACTCGCCGTATGCACCATCGTAGATACCAAACATTACAAAAATTCCTAAAAGGACCATAATTCTCTTCAACAGAACCACATATAATTTTATTGTAATATACCAAGTACTTGATCCTCTTGTGTTACCCAATAACTCATCAAAAATTCTTAAAAGGACCATAATTCTCAATAAATATATCTCAACAATTTTAACTCATCAACAAAGATATACGTACACTATTATACATGTACGTACATAACATTTTTAAGAATGTAGGTATCGAGGATATTGGGCATCATGGAGAGTCGCAAAACCCTTCACGGAGGTAACAAGTTCATCATAGGTAAAGTCATATAAATGATCCACTATGATGAACCAAGAATAACACATCTTTTTTATCGGAGAAACATAGAAGAAATTCAGAGGGACAAAATATATAACTATGGTTTACTTTTTGTCTAAGTCGCAAATTGCGTACGTTAACAAAAAAAAACTAAAGAAGAAAGCACACCTAGTATAAAAAATCAATTTCTTGAAAATTTTGCAGAATCTGGGTTTGCTATTGAAGAAAAAAGAGAATTCTGAAATGATATGATCATACGAAAGATATACTTGAAATCAAAATTTTGAAAACGATTTATCCTGATTTAGGTTGGGCATCAAGTTTTTAACGAAGATTCAACTAAGATTACTACTTGCAGGAGAGACGATACTCTGTTCCGCTTCTCTGCAAATTTTGAAAAAAAAATAGATCTTTGAAAACGGTTTCGTAAGACTTGTGATTCGGGTACTAAAATCGATCGCATGAAAGTAAATTGACATTATGTTCTACTCGCCAAAGACGCAAATCAGAGATACGATAATCTAACATATTTACATGTCAACATAATCAATGATACGTACACTATAAATTGCATGTACGTACACTGAAAAATTTTAATGAAGGGTATAATTGTAATTTGGCAGTCGTCTTCAACCTCTGCATCCCTAATTTTGCAGCTGTTTTCAACAGTTATCTCAGAATTTTGTTTTCTATATACATTTTGAATGTTTCTTACATGTAAATATTGTACATCTAGCATATTTTAAGTTCGAAAAACTAAAGAGTTTGAGTTTTGTTTAATTGTCCGGTGATTAAGTCGATTCCGTCGAAAGAACACTTGCTTTTTCACCATTTTTATCATTTCTCCAACTCGCCACAAATCTCTTAATCTATTAACTCTAATCTCTCTACTTGATAATGAAGCAAAATCAATTATTTCACTACAAAATTTCAGATTTAAAATAAAATTTCCTTTGATTTTAGTATAAAGAGCAGCTCGCCTTTGTACTCGGATTATTTCATTTCTTTTTCTTTAAATTCTGATTTTCTAAAAAATTTTATATGTTTAAGTAAAAAAAATATATAATCATTTTTTCTTTCATGTAGTTTGGTTGTAGAAGAGTTAAGAAACGTAACCAAACAAGAATAGTTGTTCTCTAAGGGTAATTTGGTCTCAAATAGCTCAATTTGCTATTCTCTGAAAGGTCAATCTCACTTTGCCAAAACATGAGAACAAAACTCAAAATATTGTTTTACGTGAAAATAACTTTATTGATAAACACATGGTGGTTCGGTAACAAAAAGTAAAAAAAAAATTATTAGAAGAAACTAAAAAAAAAAAAGCACATGATGGTGGGCCTGACATCAAGTAGATATGTCACAACGCTAATAACGTGTGTAATTGATGGATTGATCTAAAGGATTTTCACTAGATGACAAATATTTGATACTAGAGTGGGAATACATAAACTTGGCAGGAGGAGCATAAATATTTGAGGTATTTCCAATGGAGAGTTCTTCCCATGGGGCTCTCTCAAAATTTTAAATATAAATTTTTTGAAAATGTGAGATGAGAACTTTTGTTTTTTTAAAAAAAATTTCATAGTCCAATGGTAGGTTCTCTAGTGAGGTTCTCTTACAAAAAAAAAAGATTATTAAAAATTTTATTTCATAAAACTTAATAATTATTGTAATTCATAAAAATATTAAACATATATTATTTTCAAACATTAAAAAAAAAGATATGCAAAAACAAAACCGGAATAACGATTAGTTGTACTGTTGATTGTTGCGAAATTTTTGCCAACCAAATTAGCTTTCAATTGACAATTTCAAAGTTTAATTTTAAATTTTGACAATTTCAAAGTTTCGAAATTTCAAAGGGGCTCTTAAAAAATAAATTTTTGAAAATAAAATTTGGTGTTTGGTGTTTTGAAGTTTTGAAAAGAAAGATTTGAAGTGTTTTGGTTCTTAAAAATTTTGGTTACAACATTTGTATGAACATAAAAGAACACATCTATAAAGCAAAGTGTATAGCAAGGAACACATAAACGTGTATGAAAGAACACATAAAAGAACACAAATTTATACGCCGAAGAATCCAGAAACAGCAACAACACATTGTAATCTCTCTATCTATACAAAGTTAAAGTTGACACTCCAGCAACAACAGATTGGGTAGAGACTGTTAAGTCTTTGGTGATAGTGATGGCATCAAAGCCCAAATGGATGAGAGTTCTTGGCTTCGTTGATCAAGTGTTTGAAAGATCTTTATGTTCTGCATAGTGCATATCTGTTTTAAGACGGGAATAATAATAAGCAAACACTTGTTAAGGACACTTGGCACATGTAAGGCAAAAGAGAATGCAGTTTCAGGGTGTGCAAAGAAATATATGCAAGATTATGGAAGCACAATATAAGCAAGAATTGATCACAAATCTGATTCAAGACGTTAACGGAATCAATAAAACATGAGCTCAATATTTGACATTTGAGTTCTTGATAGAACAAGACAAGAACATCAAACTCACCTTTATCCATTACCTCGGACACGTGATAGTTAAGTGACATGTGATTCATCTTCTTCTTCTTCCCAATCTTCTATGAACTCAACATCATCAGTTGTTTTATCTGCCAAAATTTACAATCATATCAAACCAAGCAACAATATAAAGAAGGGATTAATCATATTTTCTAAGCTACATTCCCCAAAATTACCAATCAATGTTTCAATCCAACAAAAATTGACCAAAGCAATGACCTTTATCCCCAAATATTCTCCCGTGTTTCTCGGCAACACAAGAACAATCAAACCCATAATCGAATCTGGTGGGTGAAATTGACCAAAGCAAAAAAAAAACCTTAAAAGTTAGGCTTAATTTCTCTAAGCATTTCACTTGCAAACTCAATAAAGTTTCAATTTTTATGAAATCCCCAATTAACAATCAACATTATTCAATCAAGGGCACAAAGAAATTAGGTACCTTTTTGTCAATGAAATCAGCCCAGAATCTAGCATGAACTCTCTGGTAAGGATCAAAAGAAAGGATAGGATAGGATTCCGGCGTGTTGGCGTCTACGGCGTTTCGACAAGAAAACACAAGGGTTTTTCTTTTCCTTTTGTTAAATACAAGCAACCAATCACAATCTGCCATGTGTGCGGCTCTCCTTGATTCCCAAAACTCCCTTAAGAGAACCGACTCTTTGCAAAATTACTTGTTTTGATTTATTTTTAATCACTTTAATGAAGAGAACCCCATGAAATTATCAAGAGAACCTCCCATTGGAGGTGCAATGTTTGGAATCTATGAAAGTTCATATAGTTTTGTCATTTAAAACATCCACAACGTTCCAACAGTAATTGATACTAGAGTGGGTAGACATGAATTCTTATCTTGGCAAAATTCTCACATGCGTCGATAGATAATAAGATGCATCAGATTTAGGCTTGATTGTACAATCTATTTAAGGGTGGAGAGAAAAAAAATCCACGCAAATAGATCAAATCACTCTTATTTGACAAGTTTTCCCGTTTTAGTTGGTTATCGAGTTATTAGAGACTCGAAGGAAGCCGAGCAGTTTAATGTGACGAAGCTTATTCAGGGAGGAATATGGCTGAAACCCGCTTGAGTTACTTACTAAGAGTCTTTGATTTAATTGTCGTATTAGTATACTTTGTGTTTTATTGTGTACTTCTGTTTTGAGTTTGATGTCTTTCTCTGTTTTGTTTTATGAATTTTAACTAATGATATGCTCTGTTTCATAAAATTATTTTTAAGACTCTAAGTATTTAAATATTTAAAATAAATAATCCATTTAGAATATATATATAGATGACTAAACTTTTGAGACTATTTCATGATTATTTCGATTTGTTTTAGGGGGCTTATTGGGACGTTGATTTGTGTAAAGTTAGTGGATTTCAAAAGTTGATAGATTTTTAAAATTTTTGAAGATTTTTGTAGATTCTAATAAATCTGTTAATCCAAATTTGTGGAATCTTTTATAATAATTTTACGGATTGTCGCAGATTCTTGATGACTTTTTTATTCCAAAATTTATTAAAAAATATTTGATATGCTTGATTTCCAATTATCATATCTCTAAATAAGGAATGTTTATTTGCTTATAATGGTGGTTTGACGTATAAAAAAACTCATATTTTCCGGTCATCATCTGTGGGGAGCAAAGGTACTACCTCAACTATCTCTTTTGTTTCTTCATCATAATTTTGATACGTTTTATTTGCATTATATTATAGAAAATTTGTTATTTTGTCTCCTTTTCCGAGTTAGGTTTGTTATATAATTGATTGTTTAGCTAGCATGTTTTTAGTTATACTAACTATCATAGTTTTCAAATAAGATTATAATGGGTGACAAAGAAAAGCAATACAATCAATGGAGTCCAGAGGAAACTAAAGTATTGATAGAACTGCTTGTCGAGGGTATTCAACGTGGATGGCGTGAGTCTTGTGGTATAATGAATAAGGCAACGGTTGAGCATAGAATACTACCAGTCCTTAATGAGAGACTTGGATGCCAGAAAACCCACAAGCATTATCTCAGCAGAATGAAGTACCTTAAAGCTCAATATCTAAGTTCTGGAGATCTCCAACGTAACAGCTCGGGTTTTGGATAGGATCCTGTCATGAAAATGTTTACTGCTTTCGATGAAGTTTGGCATAATTATTTAAAGGTATGTTTTTTTATTCTAGTTATCTAAAAGCTTTTGAAAAGAATATGCTCTTGATATGATAACATATATCGTAGTTTAGTTTTCTCCAATATGTTAAAATGTATTAAGTTATATATGTCTCCTATTTTGCAGGCACATCCAAACCACAAGTTTATGAGATATGACTCCAATGATCAGTTTGAAGATTTGAAAATTATATTTGATTGTGCAACTGCTAATGGTAGCTCTTCAATTGGTTTGGGTGATACTACAGATGCTCGCACCTACTCGGTTGGTGATAGTCAAGTAAAAGAAAACTTGAACTTCTTTGATGAGAGCAATGAAGATGGTTATGCATTTTCATCTCAAAAACAAGCACCGGAAGCTGATGCATCCCCTTTTTCAGAAACAAGTTTGAAAGGTCGTGCAGAAAAACTTGTCCCGAGGAAAAGATCTAGAGTGGAAGCAGTTAACAATCTAGATGAGCTGAACAGTGATCGCAATGATTTTATGATAGCTGTGAGCAACAAGATACTTAGTGTCATACAACAAAGAGAAGAAAGACAACAAAAAGAAGCTGAACAACGAGAAGAAAAATTAAGATTGGAAGTCGAGAAACGAGAAGCTGAGAAAAAGAAAAACAATGTCTGGGATGCTATGAAAGAGGTTCCTAATCTGGATCAGCGTATCAAATTTAAAGCGGTTACTCTTATCTACTCATTGGGAATGAAAGATGTATTTGCGGATATGTCGGTTGAAGAGCGCTATGGTTGGATTCAAAGCAACATTAGCTCTGAACGATTTTTCTCGTATTTCTTTTGGGAAAACGGCCAATTCTCCCCTGAACTTAGTTGCTTTATCGTATTTATACACGGAACTTTGAAGTGTGCTTAAAACTACATGAACTTAACTAAAATTTGAATTTCCTGAATTTCCTATACGAACAATCTTAATCTAGTCAAAACCAACAAATCGAGAAACGGTGTTAATGTTCCGTTAACAGATGATGACTAGGATGCCACGTTTGCATTTTACAGTGCCATGTGAAACCATGAAACGACGTCGTTTTATTTAAATACAAAAAAAAAAAAAAAAGTGTGAAGGAAATATCACAAAATCTGGATTTGAACGTGTTACCTCTTATACACGTGAACAGACTTACAACCAGCTGAGCTAATGTAGCTTCTCTTCGTGTTTTCAAACAGAAATGTAAATATATTTATATACGGCTTTGATTGGTGAACAAAAATAAAACTGTACAGCTTTGTACAGCTTTGACAGTTACCAATCACAAAAACTTTATGAAAAGCGATACACTATAACATAAACAGTTTTTTTGGACAAAAACAAAAACAAATTAAAACGGTTACGGTTAAATACGGTTACGATTAAATACGGTTATAACGGTTACGGTTAAATACTGTTACGGATAATTACGGTTATAGTTATTTAATGACTACAATACGGTTAATATCAGAGGCAAAATCTTACGAGTTACCTAACTTATTATAATACTTTTCATAAAATCAAAAAGTATGTTACAAACCAAATTTTGTTCATTTCGAGCAAAATAACTGTATAACATATTTGTTTGAGAAAAAGACTATTTTTTATAACTTAGATTTTTTCATATGCGGTATCATTTACTTTTTTGAAAATCTTAATCTGAACATTCGATAATTGTTTTTGCATTATATGGAGTTACAATTATATTTTTAAAGTTTTAACTATGCGGTTAACCATATGGTTAAATAACGATTTTCATATGTTTACCGTTAATTAACGGTTACGGTTAATATATTTTTTAACTGTAACTAATTATTTTTTACGGTTAACGGTTATGGTTTTTAACCGTTTTATACGGTTACGGTTGAGAAACGGTCCGTAACCGTAACCGTATTTTGGATCGTAACTGGACCAAAAGCTAACCGTAACCGTATTTTGGATCATAACTGGACCGTTTTTCAACCGTAACTGTATAAAACGGTTAAAAACCATAACCATTCACCGTAAAACTAGATTAGTTACGGTTAAAAAAATATACTAACCATAACCGTTAATATACCGGAAACGTATCAAAACCGTTATTTAACCGTACGATTAGCCGCACGGTTAACCGTATTATTAACCGCATAATTAAACTTTATAAAATATAATTGTAACTATGTATAATGCAAAAAAAAAGTCTCTAATGTTCAGATAAAGATTTCCGAAAAAGTAAATAATACAGCCTATGAAAAAATATCATTAGAAATCATGGTTTTTTTTCTCAAACAATTATTTTGGAATGTTATATTGCTCAAAATGAAGAAAAATTTTATGTATTATAGGACTAGTAAATTCATATTATTATTCTAACAATAAAATATTGTTCATTCTATATAATCTTAATTTTCATATGTAATTATATACTAAAGTACATTTCTATGTAATTTTTTTTATTTCTAAATTCTTAATATTATTTATTATGTGTATTGCTATGATGTTTCCAATCATAGTAAATTTTTAAAATTTGTTCTGCGTTATTTTTTTGTACAGCTTTCGTGTTTAATTCTTTTGTACAGCTTTGCACTATTCCCTAACATTGTACAGCTTTACACTATTCCCTAACAGCTAACAGCTCCAGCTAACCGCTCCAGCCAGCTAACAGCTAACAGCTTGTTACCAATCAGACCCTACATGTTTCAGTAATTTAAAAAAAAATAAAACTAAAACAAGGAAACCCTTATCCCTCTCGACTCCTCGCCGCTTTCTTCTTCTCAGATATTCCTCTTTGACTCCTTCCGATTTGAATCTCAAACTTTGTTTTGATTTTCCAATAATAATTCCTATCCGATTTAAATCTCAATCTTTGATTTGATTTCCTATAACAAAATCCAGATAAACTATTCAGGCCCGGCTTACATAGGTAGGCCAGAGGTGCGACCGCCACCGGCCCAAGAAATAAAAGGCCCAATTTTTTTTTAGTTTTCAAGCCTTTTACGTTTAAGTTTTTTTTTTTTTTTTTTTTTTTAGCAGAAAATATTAATTAGAAGATGAAAAGGGCCTTTTTACTTTACTCATCTCTCTCCTCTAACCCTAACGGTCATAAAAAAAATCCTGAATCTGTGTTTTTTTTTGCTCAATAGACTCTTAACTTCAAGAAAAGAACCAGAATTGAAGCTCAATCATCTTGTGGCTGCAACTGTAACAAACGTGTGTCTAATTGTAACTTCGTAAATTGTAAGTTTTGGATGATTTGCAATTTTATAATTCAGAATTTCAGATTTTCTGTTTTATTTTGTATTAGCTAGTGGGTGTCTTCGATTTATGAACAAAAATTCAGTTCAAAATTGATATAAGAAACCTTGTGTATAATAGATAATTATTTTGTCTTTGTTTGATTTTTGTTTAAAACAAGCAAAAAGAACACACGTTGACTAGATCTAAATTTTGTCTTTCTTCTAGTACTTAGTATATATTTTAATCGTTTTTTATGAATTGTTTATTGTTCTAGGTGCTTCCACTTGGTTTTTGGCGACAACAATCCTTGTTAATTGTAAATTGCCACCGCTCACTGCCTCGCCTTTGTTAATCCAGGTGCTATCTTTTAATAAAATACTTTTGATCATGGTTTTGTGTGGAAATGACAAACTAAAGAAAAGAAAAAGAGATGAATTGTTTATTCAATCTCAAAGAGGGGCTATGGATAAATTTATTAAAAAACTAGGTGATAATGCTACCGTTTCTCAACAAACTGAAAACGTGAATGATTTAAATGGTTCCAATAATAATGTTCCAAATGCATTTGAAAGTTTGAATGTTCATGAGCAAGAAACTTTTTCCTTGAGTATCGATAATGATCCTAATAGATTGAGTGAGCATGATAATGTGTCAAATGCATCTTTACTTGAAAGTTTGAATGGTCATGAACAACAAAGATTTCATTTTGATACTTTTGATCCTAGATATTGGGAAAATCTTGATAATAAAACGAGAGATGAGTTAGTTGCGTGTGGACCTAAAAGAGAATTAAATTTGACTTTTCCTCTTGATAAGTATTATAGACATTTCTCATATCGATATTATTCTAGAAAATTGAGTAATGGAGAAACTTGTGATAGAAAATGGTTAGTTTATTCGAAACATGTTAATAAAGTTTATTGTTTTTGTTGCAAGTTGTTTAAATCTCTAGGTTACTTAAGTGTGCTAGCAAATGATGGATTAAATGATTGGAAGCATCTTAGCGAGAGACTTAAAAAGCATGAGAGAAGTGGAAAACATATGGCTAACATGAAAACTTGGAATGAAATGCTAGTTAGATTAGAGAAAAGTCAAACTATTGATAAAGAATTACAAAGAGAAATTATAAAAGAGAAAGAAAGGTGGAGGCTTGTTTTGATTAGAATTATTGCGGTTGTGAAGTGTCTTGCTAAACAAAATTTAGCTTTTCGTGGGTCAAATGAGAAACTTTACCAAAATAGTAATGGTAATTTCTTAGGTATGATTGAATCCATAGCCGAATTTGATGTAATAATGCAAGATCATATAAGGCGCATTCATACTCGTGAAATACATCATCATTATCTTGGTCATAATATTCAAAATGAATTGATCTCTCTTTTGGCTCATAAAGTTCAATTTTCTATTAAGAATGTCATAAGAGAGGCCAAATATTTTTCTATCATTCTTGATTGTACCCCGGATATAAGCCACCAAGAACAAATGACTTTAATAGTACGATGTGTAAGGATTTTAGATAAGAAGGTCAAAGTAGAAGAGTACTTTTTAGAGTTTCTTATCATAGATGATACATCCGGATTAGGTATTTTTGAAAGAATAATTGATGCGCTAAAATCTCTAGATCTTGATGTTAGAAATGTGAGAGGTCAAGGTTATGATAATGGGTCCAATATGAAAGGAAAGCATCAAGGGGTTCAAAAGAGATTGTTTGACATTAACTCAAAAGCATTATATATGCCTTGTGCTTGTCATAGTCTAAATCTTGTAGTAAGTGATATGGCTCATTCTTGTGTGAAAGCTATTTCTTTTTTTGGAGCATTGCAACGAATATATGTATTATTTTCTAGCTCTACAAAAAGATGGAAAATTTTGCTTGATCATGTTCCTTACTTAACTATGAAATCTTTTTCTAATACTCGATGGGAAAGCCGAATAAAAAGTGTCAAAGCTATTAGGTTTCAAGCTCCTCAAGTGAGATTAGCTTTAATCGATCTATATGAATCATGTGATGATGCCATAACAAAAAGTGAAACGGAAAGTTTAGTAAATTCACTTGAGAATTATGAGTTTTTACTTGGTATGACTATTTGGTATGAAATTTTGTTTGTCATGAACACGGTAAGCAAGAGCTTACAATCCAAATCGATATGCATTGATAGTGCTATAAAACAATTAGAAGGTATAATCTTATATTTTGAAAAGTATCGAGATGAAGGGTTTAGTTCTTGTTTGAAAGTAGCTCAAGGTCTTGCTCATGATATGAATGTTGATCCTATATTTCCAAGTAGGCGTCGTGTCTTTAGAAAAAAACACTTTGATGAGAATGATCATGATGAAGAAGCATTATCGGTCGAAGATGATTTTAGAGTCAATTATTTTCTTGTTGTTGTGGATATGGCAATTTCTTCGGTAAAGAATAGATTTGAACAAATGATGACTTTTAAAAGTGTATTTGGATTTTTGTTTGATTCATTGAAATTAAAATCACTTGATGAAAGTGAATTAAAAGAGCATTGCATTAATTTTCACAAAACATTTTCTCATGATAATGTCTCGGATGTTGATTTTAATGATTTTTTTTCAGAATTAAAAGTTTTGCAAATGTGTTTATCCCAAGTGTCAATGACACCTAGTGAAGTGCTTGAGTTTGTAGAAAATGTAGGTTGTTATCCGAATGTTTCAATTGCTTATCGAATCCTATTAACAACACCCGTGACGGTAGCTTCGGCCGAGAGAAGCTTCTCAAAATTGAAGTTATTAAAAAATTATATGAGGTCCTCTATGTCTCAACAAAGGTTGAATGGTCTAGCTATTCTATGCATTGAAAAAAGTTTGTTAGAAAGCATAGACTTTGAAACTGTCATTCATGAGTTTGCGTCAACTAGAGCTCGTCAAAATCGTTTCTTTATTCCGAAATAACTATTGTGTTTTGTTTTGTTGTTTTAGATCCAACGGAAGAAGGATGCATGAGATATGATGCAATATAAAGGAATGTGGTAGATGAAGACATGGAGCTTAAGACATGATTATATGAAATGGTTTTTGTTTTTAGCATGCTTGAAAAGGCCCTTTTTGTAAGTCGCCCTAAGGCTTCTCGATTGTTAGAGCCGGGGCTGCTAGTCAGAATCAAGCCACTCGTTTGGTTAACTGTTATTAAATGTAGGCTTTGAAATTGTGTGACGCAAGACTTTTGAAAACCTCTTAAACATAGCACATGATCTTACGTTCCCTACCATACTACTATATATCACTCTTTTCTCATGCAAGCACTCGAATATTTCTACTTCATTGATATTTTTCCCCCAACATATTAGAGAGAATGGTATATTGAGTAAAGAGATGCGATTTTAGCTAGGCCCGGCGGAGAGGGCAAGCCAGTGAAGCCACCGATTAGGGTCTCAAAATTTTCAGGGCCTTTTTACCTAAAAATTTGTTAAGTTTTCTTATATACAATAATTTTTGTAGGGCTTTTTAAAAATATTGTGGGTTTTTAGAGACAACTACAACATTTTTTTAAGGGTAAAAATCTAATTTAAAAAAAAAAAATTTATAGGCTTTAATTTTGCTTAGGGCACCCAAATTGATCGGGTCGACACTGATTTTAGCTGTTGCTTGAGGCCACGCACACGTCCTTGTCATCTTGAAATATTACAAATACACTATATTCTATATATGTATACTGACAGTCTAACTCTTTTAACTCTTGTTTTACCAAAATGTGTATACATATTATAGAATTGTCTAAAAACAGGTCAGCTAGGCTGTTGGGCATTCAGAGCCACATGCCATCATATCAATAGTCCATTCTTCTTATTTCGCTATCAACATTTACTATTTACTACGCTGTGCCATACTTCAATTATTTGATGAATAAATTACCGGATCGGTACTTATTTCAGAGAAAATTATCAGATTCGGTACGTTTGCCAAGTTTTGCTGGTTTAGACATTTTTCATTTTAACCAAGTGTCGCATTTACCCTTATCACAGTTAATTGTCTCTCTCCTCTGTGTTTTATTTTTCTCGACCAAACCAACAAAACGACGATGCTCCGATCTTCTTCCTGCGACTACACAATCTGAAGCCCTTGGGTTTAGTAATCCCTCTTAGGGTTTAGTTTTCTTTATTCAAAACGAAACTAATTGAATCCATTGTGGTATGATGAGATGATTAGATCCGAAGAGAAATTTTGTTTAGATTTAAAGATAAAATTGGAAATTTCGATTCCATGGTGTTTCAATTGAAGCCCTTGGGTTTAGTAATCCCTCTTAGGGTTTAGTTTTCTTTATTTAAAACGAAACTAATTGAATCCATTGTGGTTTTTGGAGATGGCGTTAGCGGCGGAGAAATTTTGTGTGTTTAGATCGGAGATGGAATTGGTGGCGGATGGGAGATGGTGTTTCAATTGATGGTGAGAAGGGAGAATTATGGCTAGGAAAACGAGGGTTGAGGTTAGGAGAGGAATCGAAAGTTGGTCATGAGAGGAAGAGAAGTTTGTCGTCATAGAAGAATGAAGGAGAACCCTAATTCTCCGTCACCCGTTACCACCATGGTAGGCCACTATCCTACCATCGAAAGTTGATAGGGCAGAAATTTGAATGATGCGTCGCCAGCACAAAGGCCATGCGATCCGTCGAGTTATCATGAATCATCAGGAAGAATGAAGTTTGTCGACAGGGGCTAAATTGTCTTTTACTCTGATCCAAAAATACCCAAATTTGAAGGCCTGATAGATGTTCCATTTTTGAAAGTTTTGGGCCAAATAATACCCAAATCAGCAATATTCCCATTATTTGATGTATGAATTAGTTTCACTTTCACGGTATGTAATCTCATATTCATATAGATGTTGTTGCCCTCCTTTTAGTTTTAGACCCCAAAAGTCATCAACCGGCCAAAGCCCTCACTAGTGGTCTTACTAAACAGAGCATATAGATATATTCATTACTTATTGACTATCTACGGTTTTGATTGTTTCAAATATAAATTTTCATGCATGCTTATAATATTATTAAACATTTTCACATTTTTCAGCAAATATTTGTACAAGTTGGAAATGCAAATGAATATTTGGATTACATTTTTGTTAATCAAATATAGAGCAAAAATAACATAATTTCTTATAATCTTTTTTCTCATCTTTTATTATTTTTATATTTTAAAAACACCCCATTTTTTGACCAATGGAGGTGCTCTAAGGAAGGAACCGTACATGCATGGTGACTTGATTGACTTTGTGGGTTAGCTAACTAGCTACAGTGGCATTTTGGAACATCACCGGACCAATCTACATCACATGTTGCTAAGTATTGATGTTTTGAAATTAAAAAAAGATATTAAGGTATGTGCTGGATATGCGTGGTCTAGTGTTGAGAAGATTCAACGGCCACCCAATTTCATCATTTTAGCCAACAATGAATGTTAAATGCGATCAATAAATTCATGTAACTGCCATCTGTTCTCCTCTCTCTTCATTAACTTAATACTTTCTTTCTCTCTCTCACGCACTTTGTCTTTGCAACATCACCACCACCATACATACATACAACTTACATACATACATGCCTACCACAAGACTCAAACTCCACAGCATGGGATTCTCACGGTGGCTCAACCGCACCGTGGGCTTCTTCGTCTTCTTCATCCTCGACATTGTGGATTTCTTGCTTTGCTTTACCTACAAGACTCTTGATTTCTTCTTCGAGTCAGAGTGGAAACCCTGCTACTGCTGTCCGCCGCCTGAGGCCAAACCAATCGCGGCTGGAGGGAGCAGAGTCGGTAAGATGATAGTGTCGGAAAGATCAGGAGAGTACTCGAAGGTAGTCTCACTCACAAGGACAAAGATCCATCTGGATGAGATCTCTGACACACTCTACTCACGCCCTTCACTCCTCACCAGGCTCACTAAGCTGGTGAAGTGCTTCAAGAAAGATGTTGTGAAATGTTGTGATGAGTCCAAGAAGAGATCACCGTCAACTAAAAAGACATTACTCACTGTGAACTCCACGGTGGTCGAGAAGTTGCGAAGAACACCAAGATGGTCTGATTGCCATTGCACTTTCTGCACTTCTTGGCTTTCCTCTTCCAACCATTCTCTCTTTGTCAATGTCCAACAGCCCAAAGGTACATATATACATTCTACATTTTATATAATCTCAGTCCCCTGTTTTGTTGTCCTGTTTTGAAATTTGAACACCCTTTCCCTTGTGGCTCCTCTCTCACTCTAGCTGTCTCCTGCAGCATGCATTCTCATTTAAGAGTGCAATAATATTTCATCATGAGAAAGAAAAAAGTTTGATTATTCTTGGTTATTAACAAAAGACTGGTAGCTTAAGAGTCAAATATTAAAGCATCATCATTACTCAAAATTAAAGTAATGTTTATTGGTTGAACAAAAAAAGTGATGTTTGTTGTATGGGTTCTAGCTAGTGGGGCTTTTGCATTAGCCATTAGTACAATCAAAATCATTTATTACTAAGATAAGAAACCAGTCATTTTAAATGGAGAGACGCGTTTAATTAGGATTAAACATTACTTTAAAGAATAAATGCCTTCAAAGATCCGTTGATGTTTCTTACGTAGTGTGGAGTCATCATCATTCAGAAACAGTGTGAAGAACTTTTGAGATAATGCAAACCTAATGTAATGTGAGTGAAATCACTCAGACTCGGAAGCTGAGTGAAAAATCTCTTAGTAGTTTATCCATATTAAACCATAAATTTGACCCATTTTACACTATAGGTCAGAAACATCCCTCATTATAATATACTAAATACATTTTTTTGTGAGGTTTTTGTAGTCATAACCAAAATAAAAAAATTGAATGTGCAGACAACAAGGCACAAGAGAACGTAGTGTTCATTCATGGGTTCTTATCATCATCCACGTTTTGGACGGAGACTCTGTTCCCAAACTTCTCAGACTCAGCCAAATCGAATTACAGGTTTCTCGCAGTGGACCTGTTGGGTTATGGGAAAAGTCCAAAGCCGAACGATTCATTGTATACATTAAAAGAGCATTTAGAGATGATAGAGAGATCGGTGATTTCTCAGTTCAGACTCAAGACATTCCATTTAGTGGCTCACTCCCTTGGCTGCATCTTGGCTCTTGCGCTCGCGGTTAAACACCCAGGAGCCATCAAGTCGCTCACTCTATTGGCTCCTGTGAGTCATATAAATTGCTTTTGTTTGAATAATGCTTCCTGGTTAGTAATGGTAACTAACTGATATAAGTATGTGATTGAGTGGGGAATGCAGCCCTATTATTCGGTGCCAAAAGGAGTGCAAGGGACGCAATATGTGATGAGAAAAGTGGCCCCCAAGGAAGTGTGGCCTCCGATGGCCTTTGGAGCCTCAGTGGCTAGCTGGTACGAGCACATTAGCCGCACCGTTAGTCTAGTGCTTTGCAAGAACCATCACTTGTTGGAATTTCTCACCAGGCTACTCACCAGAAACAGGTACTCATTTATCTACTTGGCTTCTATTTTTTTGGTATGAAAAAATTATCAAGCAATTAATGAAGCCAGACACCTTTAACTCTCTTCCTCATCCTGAGATTAAGATGTGGGGAAATTGATGTGACATTATGCGATGTTGGTATATACTTAAACGCAATTGTTGTGTAGATAAATTAAATGCTCACCGGTAATAGTAGTAGATGCAATGAAAAAGGTGAATAACTGGGATGATGTATTCGTCTCGCAGGATGCGAACGTACTTGATAGAAGGGTTCTTGTGTCACACACACAACGCGTCGTGGCACACACTACACAACATCATCTTCGGGTCGGGGAGCAAAGTAGAGGCTTACCTAGACCATGTCCGTGACAACGTGGACTGTGAGGTCACAGTCTTCCACGGCGGTAGGGACGAGCTGATACCCGTCGAGTGCAGCTACGGCGTCAAGAGGAAAGTGCCACGTGCCAGGATCCACGTCGTTCCCGACAAAGACCACATCACCATTGTTGTTGGGAGGCAGAAGGAGTTCGCTCGTGAGCTTGAGCTCATTTGGCGCAGATCCACTACTCCTCAACTTCATTCAATAAATTAACCCTTCTTTATTTTAAGCTAAGTATATATATATATATATTAATACCAACCACTATTATTCAAATCATCATTTATACCCATTCACTTTTGCTTATTTCGGTGACTCCTATGTAGAAAGAAAAAAAAAAAAAACAGAACATGTTTCTTTTGTGGTCGGCATTTCATTATGATTTTGAATTTTGAAGAAAAAATAGAGTAAATAGTTTTGCGGCCAAGAATAAAGTGGTTTGCAATGTGCCTCCAATCCTCTCGAGTGTATATGTAACCGAATGTAGAGGCATCTCGAATATCGGATACCTTTCCTGATTTTTTGAAGGTAATTAAATTCCATTTTCTAACCAAAAACGACACAGATATTTTTTAGTTATATATACAAGAAAAGATGTCCAAAGACTAGATCACTGTGATATAACAAATAAGAGACTGAACATTGGCCACATCATACATATATCGCAGATGATGAATTTGTTGGTATTTGGGGGAAAGAAAACCATCATATAAGAAGACATTACATTCTGAGGAATGCTTTCTCGAATTGTGTCCACTTCTGCTCCAATGTACCCACATACCCCACAGACATTCGTACAAGGCCAGGAGAGATGCCTGCAGCTTCCTTCTGCGAGGGGTCAAGCTCGCTGCTGGTGCTGCTGCCGGAGCAGGACATGAGTGTCTCGTAGTAACCCAAACTGACGGCCATGAAGCCGAACTGAGTGGCGTTCTGGAGATATGTCATGAGCTTGTTGGCTTTCTCCTCTGTCTCCATGTCTATGGACAGCAATCCTCCGTATCCGTAGTCTCTGTTCACCATCCCTTTGAATAGCCTGTGCTGCGGGTGGGTCTCGAGCCCTGGATATATGACTTTCAACCCCAACTCCCTCATTCTCTCAGCATATACTTGGGCTCTGCGGCTGTGCTCCCTCATGCGTAGGCCCAAGTGAGGTATTCGCTCGGAGAGCTCGAAAGCCACCTTGGCGTTCATTGTGGGACCTAGCAGCATCAGAGATCCGCCACGCAGATCCATCATCCCTTTCACCAGCTTCTCACTCCCACACACGGCCCCTGTTTTTTAGGTCACGACAAAGACAAAAACACGTGTACGGTTATTTGCTCCTTCACGTGAAAGAGAAAACGTATACATACGTCGCGACAAACCAAATAACGCTACGTACCTGCGATGATGTCAGCCCCACCACTGATGAACTTGGAGATACTGTGAACCACCACATCTGCTCCAAGCTTGGCCGGAGACAGCACCATGGGGGCGAAGGTGTTGTCCACCACCACTGTCACGCCCTTCTCGTGCGCCATACGGCTCAGCTCAGGTATGTCAGCCACAGTCAGCGTCGGGTTTGCCACCGACTCAAAGTAGAGAACCTCTGTCCTACCCTCGACAATCGCGTTTGCCACCGCGCCATGGTCCGTTATGTCAACGAAGGAGGTGGTTATGTTACAGGTCCGTGGCAAGAAATGAGAGAGCAAAGCGTGTGTTCCTCCGTAGAGCGTGCTTGCCGCCACCACGTGTCCTCCGCTGCTGCACAGTTGCAGCATCACTGACGATATCGCCGACATACCTGAAGTCAATCCCAATACATATATTTGAAGTCCAACAAAAGATTCCTTTTCAAACACAACTAGGTTTCCATGGCTTCTGGATATTCTTTTATTTTAGATATATATAATAATTACCGCTTGAGGTACAGTAGGCAGCTTGGGTGCCTTCGAGAGCAGCCATCTGGCGGCTGAGGTTGAGCACGGTGGGGTTGAAGTGTCGGCTGTATACGAAGAAGTCGTTGTCCGGTCCCAGTTCTCCGGAGAACATCCGCCTCATGGTATCAGGTTCCATGACGGTGAAGGTGGCGGAGGCTTCGATGGACATGTTCACTCCCCCGTGCTCCCCAAACTCATGTCGGATGCTCGATAGGGCCGCTGCAGGGTCGACATCACGCACCGCCAGTGCCGATTTCTTTGCAGCCAAGGCGTCTCCGTCGTCGTCATCGCGATCGGTACGTTTCTTTCCGGAGAATACGAGGGGCTGCTGTGTCTCGAGGAAATGGGCCATAGTAGTTAACTAAAGAAAAAAAAAGAAGAGCCTTTGTTTGGAAACAAAAACCTAGGTGTTAACGAAATGTAAAGAGGAAAGGCTTCAATTTATAGAGAAATTAATCAGGAATTTTATAGATTTTTTTATCTTATCAAATCAATTAAAGACGTTACTTACACATTTTTGTTGTTGTTGATTACAAATTTCACATAATATCGAGGCATTGAATTGAATTGTGCTATTATTCAGAAAAAGTGGGAGTCATTCACGTGTACCCTGTCTAAATGTTTGGAACGTAACGCTTTTTTGGTTTTTAATTTTCTTTTTTTATGGGTTAGGTAAGCTTAACCAGTCTTTTGCCCTTGTGGCCTTGTTGCTTTAGGATTGTATACGCTTTTGTCAGTTTGTGAGTCACTTTAATTTGATCATGTGTTTTTATTTGATGAATATTTTATAACGAATTGCTGTGATCTCTATCTGATTACGTTTGCTCTCCTTATCATACACCAAGTGTCACGGCATCTTAATCTATTTGAATATAAACAAAAAGTAGAAATTATTAGTCACGAACCTTATGATGAACTGCTTTCACTATTCCAATTTATTATTATATATCCCTTGGGTAATCGTAATTCATTGACAATGAGTGCCAATCCTTTTTTTTTGGTCCAAAACCAAAAGAGTGCCAATGCTTGACCAAAAAAAAAAAGTAGAAAAATGTGTGTGTGTGTGTTTTTTTTTGGTAAAAGAGAATTGGGTAATACAAGACAAAAGTGAAGAAAATATGAAAGTGTGTCTACATACAGATTACAGAAAGCTGAGAAATAAACATGCGTTTAGTGACTGGAATATTCAAACTCATCGGCTCCTGATTATTAGATAAGATCATCATTCCTATGGATAGTTTCTCACATGATTCTACAAAACTATTAAGAAATAAAATAATATTAAAATATTGTAGATTTTTCAAATAGTATCAGAAACCTTTCTGTATAAATTTAGATGAAATATATGTAAGACTATGTGCATTAGCGATCCATTAAATATCTTATCAATAGAATATTATTATTTTTAATGTTAGAATTTTCCATGATTTTTTATATTTCTCTTACATTTTAACAGAAACCTATCAAATTATATTTTAAATATATTTAAATTAATTATATTTGTTTGTATAATCTATAATAGTAACATAATAAAACCGTAAATACTATTAATACAATACATTATACATAGTATAAAAAATTATATTTTCTTAAAATTAAGTATAAAATTACAAACTTATAAGAAATAATTAAATTTAACACTACCCCAAGACATAAATCTTATTATATCAAGTATGGTTTTCAAAGTTAGTAACTCATAAGATCGTGACACATGTCAACTTTATCGATCTCAGAT